CTTCTTCTGGTCCTGTGACAATAGCTGCAGATTTTTATTTTTCTGTATTCTGGGGTAAGCCCCCCAACTCTAGTGTACATAATATCACTTCAAGGTTTTTCTAGTTAAAGTTATTCTCCATTTGCATGCAGTGCATGAGCTGGACCGTTTTGGTCATCTAGGCAATGTACCTGTTTAAAACGTGGTACTTGAAAGTTTGAGTAGTCCCTACTCTAGGCACTCCTTTCTAATGCATTTCCTTTAACTGTGTCTCCATTGTCTGCTGTAAACTTGCTACACCCTCATCACATAATTGTCTCTTAAGTCTGGCTGTTACCTTATTGCCTCTTATTTTGTCTTGGCATGTTTGTGCATGATCAGGAGAGATTCAGCACAGGCAACTGACTGGTGACCATACCTCTCTTTTGGTTTTATCACCATGTCATTGTGCCTACTGCTAATGACACAGGCATCTGATTTTCAAATGGGTGTGTATTTGCTTTGTGTGGCAAGGTTTTGGTAGTGGGGGGGGGGGGGCAGTTACAGGGGTGGCTTCTGTGAGAAGCTGCCAGAAGCTTCCCCTGTGTCCGACAGAGCCCATACCAGACGGCTCTGAGACGGACGCACCGCTGGCCAAGGCTGAGCCCATCAGCGATAGCGGTAATGCCTCTGTGATAACATTTTTAAGAAGGGAAAAAAAGTTGGGACAGACGGAAAACGGCAGCTGGAGAGAGGAGTGAAAACATGTAAGAGAAACAACCCTGCGGACACCAAGGTCGGTGAAGAAGGAGGGGGAGGAGGTGCTCCAGGCGCCAGAGCAGAGATTCCCCTGCAGCCCGTGGGGAAGACCATGGTGAGACGGGTTGTCCCCCTGCAGTCCGTGGAGATCCACGGTGGAGCAGATCTCCACCTGCAGCCTGTGGAGGACCCCACACCAGAGCAGGGGGATGCCCGAAGGAGGCTGTGACCCCGTGGGAACCCCGTGCTGGAGCAGGTTCCTGGCAGGACCTGCGGATCTGTGGAGAGAGGAGCCCACGGAGCAGGTTTTCTGTCAGGACTTGTTACCCCATGGGGGACCCACGCTGGAGCAGTGTGTGCCTGAAGGACTGCACGCCGTGGAAAGGACCCACGCTGGAGCAGTTCATGAAGAACTGCAGCCCGTGGGAAGGACCCAGGTTGGAGAAGTTCGTGGAGGACTGTCTCCCGTGAGAGGGACCCCACACTGGAGCAGGGGAAGAGTGTGAGGAGTCCTGCCCCTGAGGAGGATGAAGCGGCAGAGACAACGTGTGATGAACTGACCGTAAACCCCATTCCCTGTCCCCCCTGTGCAGCTGGGGGGGGCGGGGGGGTGGTAGAGAATCCAGGAGTGAAGTTGTGCCCAGGAAGAAGGGAGGGGTGGAGGGAAGGTGTTCTGAGATTTGGGTTTATTTCTCATTACCCTACTCTGGTTGATTTGTAATAAATTGAGCTAATTTTCCCCAAGCTGAGTCTGTTTTGCCCGTGACGGTAATTGGTCAGTGATCTCTCCTGTCCTTATCTCGACCGACAAGCCCTTTGTTATATTTTCTCTCCCCTGTCCAGCTGAGGAGGCGGAGTGATAGAACGGCTTTGGTGGGCACCTGGTGTCCGGCCAGGGTCAACCCACCACAGGGTGACATGCTCTAGCCACCCTAAAAATTTTTCAGCATTCAGTTATCCTCTGCTATTAATTTTATGTGCATTTCTTTCATGGTTGTCCTACTCCAAAAACGGTTCGAGTCCTCCACATCACATACAGTCATGTCATGCATTTTTCAGTTATCCCCAAAGGTGTTCAACTTGCCTGAGATTTTCTTCTATATATGTAGAAAGAGGTATGCCTCTGGTTCACAAAGTCTAGTCAGCCTCTCTGGATTCTCAATAATTGCATTCATGAGCTTCCCACTGAAGATGAGTGTTTTGCAGATACACATCTTTGCATGATACCCGTTTGAAAACAATCAGCTCTCTAGCGTGTAGATCACTTCTCTGTCTCACAGCGTGGAAAAATTAGAATACTGTTTTCCTCCTCTGTTTTTTTTCTAATTCTTCCCCATGTTTCTAGTTTCAAAGTCCATAGGCAACATATTTGCCACGCACAAGCCATAGGAGTTGGTTTCTTCTTCCGACAGTCTTAAACGCCTTAATTTGTGTCAAGTGGTGCAGACACATGTAAGAGAGGACAAATTAAGTGCCAACAATAAGTTATTTTTACAAATACCCTACTTTAGGAGCTCAGCTGTCTCTGCCTCTCTCTCACACTGAGACACACACACGTGCACACATGCACCCAGGAGGAGGGACCAAATGGATCATCTTTGAGCCACTTCTGTATCTCGAACGGAGAGTGCAGCAGCTGCCTAAGATTGCACCAATGTACTACAACTGGAACAGTGTTTGCACTTTAACAACCTCAAACATCTCAATTTTCTGAAGCTAAGATCCATCTTTCCTGTCGTAAGCATTGTAATTTTAGAAGCCTAATCAGACAGCTTTGCATGTGATTTGCCTTGTGAGTATCCTATATTGTAGCTTTTTTAACAAAAGAAAAAACAAAGTGTACATTTTTGCAGTACTAAAACTAGACCTTGGGAAATGAAGACAACTGCTGATAAAAATTGACAGTATTCTCTGATAGAAAGGAAGTCTTATCATAACTTTCAGAGCTACACGGAAGCAGCAATAGTAACTTTGAACCACATGTTAGTAGCAACTTTGATATATCAAACTTTGAAATTGGCCTTTCTTTGAGGTGGAGTTGCACAGAGGTGCTTTCCTGGCTGAATTTTTCTATAGGCATTTGGTAGTAGGGATGAGGAACCACATCTTCGATGAAAACTTTTCACATAGGCTTTTCAAACATCCTTGCCTGTTACCATTCATCTTATCTTTGATGTGATACTTGTAGGGGAAAGATCATGTAACTGAGGTTTGTATTTTGACCCTAAGCCAAATATCCTGACTGATTGCTAGTAAGTAACGCATTAACAAATCAATATCTAAAAGAATAAAAATATATTGCTATTCAGTACAAATAGAAGGAACCACATCAGCTGCAATGATCCTCCACTACAGCTGTTTCTTCTTTTTTGGTTGTGTGGAGAGAAACAGGGGAGAACGCCCCAAGGAACATCTTATATCTAGTGGCAGCGATTTGGCAGTGAGAGCCTGCTTTTATAAACCACAGTGTTGTCCAGTGTGTGCCATAGGAATGCAGTCACTGGCAAAAGAATATCCTTATATTTCAAACCCTCTGGGAAATCCTGCAGGTAGCCGCAACTTAGGACCTGCCTAAGGCTGAGCCTTAATGAAACACCATTTGGAAGAGACATAGAAGACAAAGCTGCCTTATGGATTAAAAACTCATCAGGGATTTCAGGCAACGCAGATTTAAAAGCCTGGTGCAGGCAGAGAAGAGGTTTGCACCTGACCTTTCTAAATCCCAGAGTCTCCTGGCTATGGTGACACATTTGCCTTGCTTATTCTGAAATTCCTTGCCACCAAAATTGGTATGCATGCGTAGTAACAGGCTGTTCTTATTCATCATATATGAAAAGAGCATGACAGAAACCATTGCAAAGAACATCAGAAGAGTGCATTCAAACTATGCATTTTAGAAAGAACAAATTTATATCCAGAACTCTAAAAATTCACCTATAAAGTTAAGTCATAAGCATTAAAGTCAGGAAGCTTTTAGCCACGAAGAACTGATTTTATATGCATCCCTGTTCACCAAGTGTCTGTTAGTAGAACAGCACCTAAAATATCAAAAGAGTAGTTCCCAAACTAAGGTACTCCATCAGGAAATATTTCAGTGAGAGGTGGGAGTTGGCTGCTGCCAATATGTTCTGATTTGACGGTAATTCCATAGGAATGTTTATCTTCCTTCAACTTTAAGGTAAATTAAACTGATCACTGATTTGCCGCGTATCAGCGGTACACAGAGAGGCTGAAGTAATGTTGATTTAAGGCTCAGGACGGAGACCCCCCGCCTGCTTCTTGCTGCTGGCTGGCCGCAGAAACGGCACTGAGACCTGCAGCTCTTGCACAACCCTGGAGTTTCTTGTTCGTCATAGACAACTTAATTAGCATTCCCAGGGTGTCTCAGGACCAAGACCAAATAAATCATTAACACGGCAATCTCTTTTGACGATTGATACTGCGGCATTCGCTTGCAGCGTGGCAGTGACAGCTCCGTGGTGTGCGACACCAGCGTTCGTGTTGGCGGAGGAGTCCCAGCCGGGTTGAGGTGCCTGGCAGTAAATAATCCAAACACCCACCGACGGGCAGCCAGAAACAAAACCGCTGGCGGCCGCCAACCACCGCTTCCAAATACCCCACTGCTGCTCCAGCACCCCCGATCGAGGCGATTCTGCCAGAACTTTTCTCTTCTGCGTCTCCAACCGTGGTCACGCGCCGCACCGGATCGCATTTATGGTTATTTACTAATTAGTCAGTTGTAAAACTAATGTCTTTCGAAACGCGGCTCGACAGCAGAACCCCCGGTTCCCTGGCAGGCTGTGCCAAGACTACTCTGTCCGTGCGTGTCGTCCCCCCCCACACACACCCCCCGTGGGCTCGGTGGGGACGGGCGAGTGCCCGGGCCCCCCCGCCCCGCCGGCCCGGTCGGTGTGGTGAGCCGGTAGCGGGACCGGCCGCTCACGGAAGGCGGAAATCCCCGGCGGGCAGGAGGCGTGGGGAGGGAAGGGGGAAAGGCCTAAACCGGACAGCCCTCGGTTCGGTACGGCACGGCACGGCGCGGCGCGGGCAGCCGGCAAACTTTCGCCCCGCTGCGATGGACACGCGTGGGTGAGTGGCGGCGCGGGGCTGGGGGAGCTGCCA